TAATAATAAATTGAAATTATTTGAAGAAAATTGAGGGGAAAGAGAATAAGTCATGTTGTGAAAAAATATTAACCAATAATATTCAGAATGTACTTATTGGAAGATTTTGGCCAATAAGGCAGAAATTCTCGATTTGACACCTAGAAAGCTGGCAAAATCATGCAGGAATTTCATATAAATTGCAAGAAGAAAATTATGTGGAGAGCAGTTACAAATATAAGAATCTTCTGACATCTATCTATCTATCTCAATTACAAATATAAGAATATTCTGACATATATCTGTCTGTCTGTCTATCTATCCATCTATCTACTTAGGTAAGTAAGCTTAATAGGGAAGATTAAAAGTTTTAGATTCATTTGGAGTATTCCGCATGCCTCTAGAAAGATTATAATTTCATAATTTTATTTATTTTTAAATAAAATAAACAACTTATAAAGTTTATTGTGCAGACACAGAAAATTATTTCATTGAATAAACCTTACCTTTCTACATTTGCCTTCTTCCTACAACATTAATTTTCATTGGGCTACTAGATGTTCATAGTTTCTCAAACCATTCATGCACAAATAGAAAAGGTGGTGAGTACCTAGCTCAGGAAATGTAACATAAGGTTAGTCATTTTATATGCAAGGATGAGTTTCCTGTAATCAACTAAGTGCGTCATTCGGGTACAAGGATATAAGCATGGGTTTGAGTCACTGAGTGTAGGCATGTTTGGCTAAGTCCACCACGTCCAGTTCCAAGTGGAGATACACATGCACACAGACTTTATTTTCTTCAGCATGCTTTAGAAGCCTTAGTGGCACTGTGGTTAAAATACTTGAGTGCCATCCAGAAGGTAGGCAGTTAGCACTGCCCAGTCACTCCACAGGAGAAAAGTTGTGGCAGTCTGTTCCCATAAAGATTTATAGCTTTAGAAACCCTATGAATGGGTCTACTCCACCCTATAGGGGCGCTAGGATTTGGAATTGACTTAATCTCACTGCATTGGATTTGTTCAGTATGTTAGTGGGCGAGTAGTTTGGTTTCTGGGCAGAGCTCACAAGTCTGAGCTGGCAGTGCCTGACCCTTTGCTCCACTTGTACTATGGTTAGAAAGATTATGCTCTTAGACTATACTCCCTGGAGAGGCAAACTTGCTAAACTGGCTATTCCGCCAATGAAAATAATTTTATCTGATAATGCACTGGGGGAAGATTATCAGAAAGAAGAGAGTAATTTTAAAATAGGTTTTGAATTCTCCTAGGTGAACGAGTGTACTGTTTTTTGTTTTGTTTCTATTACTTAACTGATTTTAATAACATAACAACAGTCCCTAGACATCTATGCAAAATACATAGATGAATACTGTCTTCTTTAAAAAATATAAAATAAATGAGCAAGACGTGAAAACAGGCACATTTCCATTAAATGAATTTTTTTAAAAAGGTTTTGTTTTTCGTTTTCATTTGAATAAGAGAAATTATCAATTTAAACAATATTCAAGTATATTAAACAAATTTTTAAAAAGCATTATAAAATGTCTAACTTCCATCTGCTTCCAGGTTTATGTTGCTCCCGAATTTTGCGTATAACTGAACTTTCAAATCTGCTAGCCCTTGCTGTATTATAAACCTCTCTGGATTCTAAGGCATCGATTTCTTCTTGTAAATTTTTCTGTGCTTCTAACATTTCTTGTGTCTCCTCCTGAAAATGGCTAATGAAAACGTCACCCACTTGGTAGGCTATCATTATTAGGCAGTCATCATCCACCAGCATGATGTCATCACAAGCATCTTCTAAATTCTGCAGCTGTTTCTTGTTTACGTCTGTCTCTTCCTTTAGCTCTGAGCTTCTGCTTGTATTGCGTGAAAATTTGTTTATCTTCTGCTGGCCTTCAAAGGTAACATTGACGTCTTCTGCAGCTGCCTTCTTCATGGTAGCCACCATCTTGGGACCCTAGTTTATTGTTTTTAGGACCAACTTTGATGCCCTCTTTGATAGTTCCTTCCCCCCCCCTTCTAATTGCCAGTGTCTTTCTTCTATGCATTTAATGTTTCTCTTTGTCCCTACATTGAATAGGATTGAGGAAACTTTTTCAACAATCTATCTCCTTACTTTCTTGACTTAAAAGTTAAAGGAGCTGCACTTTGGTGTTTAACTATCCATTGACTTAATCTTTCATATGTAAAGTGTACAGATAAGGACTTTCTTCTTCACAGTTTTCCTTCTCCAGGCAGCTCCTTTGTTTACTTGGCCTTTATCAACCTACTACACACTGGTCTTCCTTTTGAGTTATAAGGGAACTGTTTCTTTAAGCCATCATTTTTGTGCACAAGATTATAACGGTCCAGAAAGAGAGAGAGAAAGGGTTAGTCTGGAGCTGCTAGCGTTTTATTAGGTGTTTCAGGCTTTGAAAGACTTAGCATCAATAAGTAGAACTGTGGCTTTTAATACCAAAAATTATGGATTGCTTTGGGTATGTTAGGGAGTTCTGGTGACTTGGTAGGGAATTGAGCTGCCAACCCAAAGGCAGATGGTTTGAATCAGCCAGCTGCTCTGTGGGAGAAAGATGAGAAATCTCCTCCCGGGTGATTTATACCCTCTGAAAATCCACTGGAGCATCAGATATGAGTCAGTTCTGATTCAGTGGCAATGAGAATTGAGAAAGTGCGTGTGTGGAATATATTATCCAGAAGGACCAATCCCTGGACAAAGATAACAGCTTGTTAACAACTCAGTGAAAGAGGAAGGCCCTTAACAAGACTGATTGATGATACTGTGACTGCCTTAATGAGCTCAAGCAGAGCAGACCCTGTGAGGCGGGCAGTGTTTCGTTTTATTGTATGTAGCATCGCTATGAGTTGGAGCTAACTCAGTGGCACCTAAAACCAACACTAAGTATCAATAATTAATAATACAATGCAGTATAATAGATAAATCCCAGTTCTCGTATATATACTTTCGTATATTACGTATATGAAACTATTTCACATATTTAAAATTATTCAGATAGCAAAAACAAAACAAAAAAAAACCCCTTATTTTATTTCTGAACAAAGTTTCAAAAGTTAATTTTATTAGTCATAGAACGAGGGGGGATTTATCAAATAAGGGTAAAATGTCAAGTTTGAGATGTAGGCAAGAGATAATCATTAGCTCTCTGCAGGAAGCAAGAACCAGTGCTCTGTAGGGGGTATTTCAGGTCTTTTGCTGATTATATAAACTTACATGTGATTCACTTAAAGAACCCATGACCTGATATGTAAGAAAGTAATTATCACAGTCCACTTTGAGGGAAACTTGGAGTAATATATTCAAAGATATTTATGGTACACTACATTATATTTTTATTTTAAAGCCGTACGTATTGTCTGATACTTTTCTTTAATCTATATTCTAGTAAGAACGTGTCCATGTCTGGTACATGGGGGAAGCGCCTAAAGGTCAAGAGCTACAGAATCGAATGTGGTGTTTTTTTTTATAGTTACTGCCCATTTATTGGTGTGTGGATGCAAAAGGGAGATGCTTTGCAGGAAAAAAGCAAAAGCATAGCTCCTCTCTCATAAACCTGCCAAACTTCTTATTAATTGTCTGAATTAACTTTGTTTAACAATGAAAATTTTTTTTCCACAAATAAGTGATGCACAGGCAAAGAAACAGGTATTCTCAGGGACTACATTGAAGATAGAGTTTGCTTATATAAACAATGAGACCACAGTTGCTTCATTTGAAAATTATGTTACTTTAGTATAGGAGAAGTGTGTGTGAGAGGGATAGGGGAGAGTGTGGATATTAGCTATGCCATGAATTTGCTAACAATGATATGGAAAGATAAAACCACAAAAGAACTGTATTTTCTGTATCATAGATAAAAGTAAATGCTAAGGGAAAAAAAATATCTCCTGGCCTAAATATGAGGTAGGTGAATAGAGATGAATGAATAAATGATTTCAAATTGGTCTTAATGACTAGTCTCTTGAGACATCTAACAATGGTGTATGTGTTACACTTTAATTTTTCCAGAATCACTGAATCCTGGTGAATTTTTTACAACCATGCCCTGTGCATACTATGTGACTCTGGTACAGAAGCAGACAGCACCATGGCAATGAGAGAGGAGAGGACGATGGCCCGGATGTTACTGGACTGCAGGCTCACTAACAAGTTGTGTAGTAAGTACAGATATTACCCATATCTCGCCTAATTGTTAAGCCTATAGTGGTGAGACTATGATCGTGATAGGTTCAGGAAGGAAGAGTATTTGATTTCTAGTGGAAATTAAGACAGTACTGATCGAGAATTAGTCTAGAGGTCCTAATCTTTGAATGAGGGAACACATTCCAATTAGAGATTCAGATGCTGCATCTTCTTCTCAGTACAACTGAGAAGCAATACGACTAGCAGTACAATTGTTAGCAATAGCAATAAAGGACACACATACAGGGTTAAGAAACAAGGACTTTCTGGACTTGCTTCTAAGAGTGATTCCATTGAGTAGAAACAGAAGGAAAGAGGAGTAGAGGGAATGATGTGAATAGCAACTAAACCTGCTTCTTCATATTCTTCTCTTCTTGCTTGCTTGCCTGTCTAGTTGTCCAACAGCAGTATGAGATTATTGTGGTCCCGGCACTCCTGGTTGGTGCCTTCCTCATTCTCCTTGGGGTGATCCTGTGGCTTTTTATCAGAGGACAAAGAGCTCAACAACACACTTCTCGACAGCAAGGTAAAGCTCCAAGTTTGAGGCTGGGCAGGACCACAAACTCCTGCACTGGCTTCTTTATTCTTTCTTAAATACACCAAGCAAATCACTCCTTTCTCAATGTCTTTGTACTTTTTCTTATCTTTCTGCACAAAACTTTTTCTGATGCCAGTATGAATGTCATCTTATCAGAGTGTCCTTTCCTGGCCTTCAAAAGTAAAATAGCATTCCTGGCATTTTTATTCCCTTATCCTGTGTTATTGTCCCCTAGAACACTCATTGCCTAATATTTTATTACCTGCTTTCTTTCCTCTACATCTAGAAATTAATATTCATTAGAATCTGGAATTTACCTGGTCTCACTACCTAGTACAGTACCTGGGACAAAGTAGGTGGTATAAGAATATTTAATATTTAATAAGAATAAACCTCTTGTTCCTGAACAAAGAAAAATTCAATCAAGCTAAATGGGCAAAGTACCAGAATATTTTTTTAAACCATGAGCATAGGAAATAGTGAAGTTGAGGGAGTAAAAACACATAGTTTAGTGTTGACTTTTGTTCTGTGCCATCCAGTGGCAACTATTTTATGGTTGACCCACTAGTGGGTCTTCAAAGAGTTTCAATTGCGTGGAGGGATATTGCTCATCTGTCTCACATGGAGCAGCTGGTGGATTTGAACCATATGCTTTGGGGTTAGCAGTGCAGCTTTTTACCACTAAGCCTGCGGAGCTATCCATATTTCTCCTCCATCTTTGGAAGTCATTTGACTGACTTAAATGATAACATGGACTAGAAGTTACTATTATCTTTATTTAGGCTCCTGTGCTTCAAAGAGGTTTTTAAAATGAATCCTTGGGGAATGTGGAACACTAAACCTGAGGAAAACAATAAGGAAGTATTACCATTCTCCAGGGGTCTGTATTATATTATATTAGAAGTAATGAAATGTTTACAAGGTTGATATTGGCATTAGTTAATAGAAAAACATGAAATGACGTTGGTTCGAGGAGATTGCCAATCATTAGAGAGATTTCTGAAGGAACTTCCTTGCCTTGTTGGCCCATGCTCTACTTTGCCAGAGGGGGGACTGGAGGAAGTTATTGGCTATAATTTCTTTGTTCTAGGCATTAGTTCCATGCCTCTACATAAGGATCTCCGCTTTCAAGCATCAGGAGTTGGGGAAAGCGTGCTTGTGAGACTTGAGACCTCAGTGGAAAGCCTTTTACAAGCCACCACACCTGCCTTGGCTAAGCTGCAGGTGTCCCGGGAACAACTCTCTGACGTTGTGGAACTGATTCACAATGGTAGTTGCGGAGCCATCTATCGAGCCAAGTTGCACACTGGGGATCCTGCTAAGGCCAAGAGTGTTGTACTCAAGGCTTTAAGAGGTAAAATGAGAAGAGCAGACTTCCTTTCCACTTTTGATTTTTTAACCCTAAGATTCATCTAACATTAGATATTAACTTTATAAGCATTTAGATGGTAACCAACAGATAGTTGTTTCCACAATTAGCTAAAGAAGAAAGGAATAGATAAAGAAAGAAAACTTAAGGCAAAAATGCCCTATCTGGTCTCTTCTCTTAGCTCAGGTTTGCATCTTGATTTCTCCATAATATTTGTCATGTTGTTGTTATGTGCCGTCGAGTCACTTGCGACTAATAGCGACCCTATGTACAACAGCCCTGAACTTTGCTCTGTCCTGTGCCAATCGCACTGTCTCTGACACTCCCATCCCGAT